AAAGAAATCCTGTAGTTGTTTGTTTAATAAGTGGCGAAGCTAGGCTTGGAAGTAGGTTTGTCTTCTTCCAGCACCTGTACTCGACATTGGTCAAAAGCAATGTATGTAGCTGTTTGATTCTCCAACTTGTTAAGACTTTGGAAAATGACTTTGTTAAAAGGGTAGAACACCTTTGGCAGTGTGGACCAACTTTGCTTAGTATTTAACAAATTATTAACTCAAGACATTTGAAGGTGGAGATGGGACTGAAATGTACTTGAGCACTAGAGCAGATTGTAATTTTAACAAAGTACAAATAAACGTGTTTTTTTTTAATCTGCAAAAAAGTAAGAACATATTTTAAATTTTTCAGCTAGCTCAGAGTTTTATTGACTAAAATTTCAGGGGGAGGTATTTTATGTTTATGATCTTAGCAGTAACAACACTATAAGTGAAACTCACTGATACATATTCAGCATTTGTCTATGGTCCTCTGAACCTCAAGGATGTCTGAGCTGAGATGAATTTTTTCAAAAGGAATAAAAACTTCAGTGCTAAATTGAGACTTAACTACTGAGATTAAAAAATGTGGCTCAGATTTAAACAGCAGCAGTTATTACACCAACATAGTATCAGTGTGTCCAAAGTGTCTTGGTTAATAAACTTGGGACAAGACACAACCCAGTTCACCTCATGCCTCCACACCACATCTTCTCTGTTATGTGAATACAACTTTGTCTGGATTTACCAAAAAAGCCTTAATTCTAGAACACCTCTGTGATGGGGTGTGGGATGCTTAGGTGGTTTAACATACCAAAAAGATATTCAGTTTTCCCGTGGAGAGTCGAATGGAAAAAGATGAGTTCTGTATAGATGTGGAGAAAAAAATACATGTTCATCTTCATCTTGGCTTTCTCCTGAGCTCTTCCCTTGCTAGGAAGATAGACTTGTTCCCATGACTATGATGAAGATCTCAGCATGCTCCCCTGTTTGTTAAGTTCCTCTCATGTTTCAGGAGCTGGTTGGCACTTAAATAAACAATTTAATGGTTGATAGTCCCATAAAGTCTACATTCGTCTCTAGTGGGTAATAAAATATGATTTCTGTTTATATACGTACGGCTTTGCTCTTCAGTTGCTATTCACTCTACTCTGCTCTATTTCAAAGCATCATTTCTTCCAACAGGATAATTAGCTCTTTTTCTCTACTTAATATCCCATTTAGTTCTTTTACTTATTATGCAATGACTCAAAGAGTTACCTTTACAGTAGTCATCACTTTAACTTTGTCCACCATTACCTCTGATGAAGAGAGTCCTAGGACATAATGCATGAAGGCTACATTGTGAGAGATAACAGAATTAACAAAGAGGTTGGTTTCCTTATTAACGAATGGCCCATTGTTTAAACAAAAGTGAGCATTTTTGCCCTGGCTGGTGTGGCTCAGTAGTTTGAGCACTGGCCTGCAAAATGAAAGGTCACCAGTTCAGTTCCTGGTCAGGGCACATGCCTGGGTTGCAGACCAGGTCCCCAGCTGGTGGAGGATGAAAGGCAACTGTGATGTTTTTCTCCCTCTCATTCTCCCTCCCTTATCTTCTCTCTAAAAAATAAATTTAAAGTGTGCATCTAGGTCAAATGGGACTCATTAGCTCAACATCTTGATACTGTGAGAAGAAAAAATAGGATACGAAGATATAGAGATGAGATAGAAATGAGGCACCTATGTCAGTAGAACTCAGCAAAAATACAAAGGCAACCCAGAGGGATTGAAGAGCTTGCAGAATTCTGAGCATATGAGTGGTACTACTAGTAAAATTGAGTCCTGATGATGAGGGACCAAACCAGTCACATCAGGGTCCATCCATATGAGAATATGTCCTTTCTGAACAAATAAACCACTGTTACTGAAGCAAAGAAACCTATTTTTTTAAGATCCAGGTCTTGCTTACATATCTGACCCCAACTTTTCCCTCTCCTCACTCCATACACTGTTTTTAACACAATACTCAACAATTTCGGGAACCAAAATTGGTCGTGCTCTCTTATATCTTACCACCTTACACTTGCTTTTCACCCCGTGAACAAGGAAGTCACCCCTTCTTCCCACCCCATTGGTTTTACTTTTACTCATTAACAATATTAGGTCACAGTTTTGAAGTGGTTTCTTTTTCAATCTATCAAAACTACTTCAGAAGTTCCATTCATTTGCTCACAGAGGAAGTATGTAATCTGTATTATAACACCATCGCTGTATTGTAGTTGCTTGTGCAACTAATTGCCCATATTTGGCACTAAACTGAAAAGTCTTTGAAGTCAGAGACTATATCTCATTTACACAGTAATCACACCTGCTACTATACTTGGCATTAGCATATAATCTATATATTATATGAATAAATGAACAATCAAGTTCCTGCAATAGCAGAGTCAAAAACAATAGGAACTGCATTACATAGAATAAACATTTGCTTTGCTACAGAAGGTAATGTAACTCATCTACCATTTTACCCCTGAATCTTAGGTTGCTTGGGGGAAGAATAAAGGAAAAACATGGCTGCTCACAACCAAATAACCTCTTTGGAAAGTACTCAGACGTGCCATTTCCGGACATGTGTGGACAAGCTCACTGCTCTATTGAGCTTCCTGGGAAAGAAGCAAGATATTGAGTCAAAGTAAATTCTTTATAAGTTCTATATTTTCCCAGAAGTAGACTTTTATGAATAAAAGATTCTTTTCCTAGTGCTCTTTATCCAAGTAAATCCAGACCAATCTTTGAGGACTCAAGAAGACAGATTAAGAAACTTCACTGAGCCCTGGCTGGTATAGCTCAGTAGATTGAACATGGGCCTGAGAACCAAGGGATCGCGGTTTGATTTCCAGTCAGGGCACATGCTTGGGTTGCAGGCCAGTTCCTGGCAGGGGACGTGTGAGAGGCAACCATACATTGATATTTCACTCCCTCTCTTCTCCTTTTCCCCTCTAAAGATAAATAAATAAAATCTTTAAAAATTTTTAAAAGAAACTTCATTGAGTCATAAAAAGTTGGTTTTATGTCCTGCTATCCTTCCAACTACCCCCCGTGAAGGTGCTTTTACATCAAGGATAAAACTAGTAAATTTTATTTATTTTTAGACAGAGGGAAAAGGAGGGGGAATGAGAGGGAGAGAAACATCAATGTGTGGTTGCCTCTCACATGTTCCTACTGGGGACCTGGATCACAACTCAGGCATGTGCCCTGACTGGGCATTGAACTGGTTACCCTTTGGTTCACAGACCAGCACTCAGTCTACTGAGCTACACCAGCCAGGACCAAATTTTTGAACCATTAACTCCATCACTAGTTTAGATATATGAACTTGGGGATGCCGCTGAGATTCCTCATTTGTGAAATGAGGACCTTATTACTTATCTAACTGCTGTGAGAACCAATTACACGCATGTGCACACAGTAGCCCCAATATTGATTAAATTAAAGTGATATTTAAGAAGCTAGCTGGGATCACTACCCAAATCTTTCAGTAATGGAAGTTTTCCTCCCAAACTACAAATGTTCACATTCTAAACCTTCATTACTTTGATCTAATTTTCAATCATTTTTTGATGAAGAATTTAAATCCTATGTCAGTATTTAAACTAGTTTTTTTTGTAAGTGTTCTAAAATTCTAAAAAGTTTAAGACTCTACGTACCACAGATTTTCAACTTGAAAGGGCAACTTTAATTCTAATACGATCAGAATTTGATCTGGAATTTTCATTATAGCAATCCGTAACTCCTCGAACTGATGTCATTTCTATTTTATTATATTGTTACATTATATGCTGTAATCTAATTGAAGTTGGAATTTCAGAAACCAATATTTTTTAAGAATGCTTCTAAGGCAAAGGAGATTTTTAGGAAATGATTGCTGGTCTGCCATTTGGAAGCCAATCATCTGACAAAAATGAGAAATACGAACTGCAGTCCTTGGAGTAGATGATAATCCACCAGTTTAAAAGTTAAGCCAGGAAGTTTATATATGTTGACTTTATCAGATATGTGGGTTTTATGCATGTAGAAAGTGGAACTCAAAAAGTTTAAGAGCCACCCAAAAATTAGGTGTCTGAACCAGAGTTTGAACCCACATATCCTTTCCATGAAAGCATATGTTGCTGACCTTTCCATGAATGTTACGTCATCCACCGCAGCTAAGTGGTCCCAGTAAACCACTTCCTGGAACATCAGCACATCTTCATTTTACCACTTGAGTGTTCCATCTAAAATGTGTTGTTTCCCTTTATCTTTCTTTACTAAAGTCCTCCCGTCCTTCAATGCCCTGCTCAAGTCTAAGTGCTTATGGAGGACTCTGCCCTTATGTCCGTCGTGGGTTTAACATCTCGAGGTCATTTACCTGTTCTCTAATGTGGTTAGGTCTTTAAGTTGCTTTCTTCTGATAGACCAAACTCATTACTTGATAAATATTTATGGAACAGAATGAAAGGGTTCATTCTGTGTGATATACATTAGAACAAATCCTTTAGTTGTATTATACTCCTTGAGAAAAGTAATTGTTCCTGGAAACTTTTTTATATGCTTAGAAAATACCTTCTCGTAAAATGTGCCCTCAATAAAAGGTCAACGAGATTATCTCCTCTTTTATTACTCTAACACATATAATTTCCCTAAAGAAATGTTTGCGCCGTAAAAGGATAGTCATAAAAGACCTTACTGTAGCAGCTGCTAGGTGGTACCATGATAAAATTACCTGTAAATAGAAAGGGAAACAACTGATAATGTATCCCACTGGGAAGCTCTGTGTTTAAAAATATTGCAAAACATGGTTGAAAACATACCTATTTTTTAAAGAAAATAAATTATTTTAAAGGTCCAATAAAACTTCAATTATGCCGAAAATGTGATAAGCTAATTACAGAAGTCTGATGACTCAGGTTTGCTCATCGAGGGTAGCCGGAAGGTTGCAGATTGTGGAATTTCCTCTGACCTAATACAAGAATAAGGGTGCACATGATCTCCACTGTGCGGGTAATATAAAAAACCATAGGAGCCCTTCATCCAGCACAAGTCCTTGAGGACAACAAAGCTCACAGGCGTCTAGGACAAGAGCCAATACGACACCTCGTGTAAACATGACTTCCAAGCTGGCTGTTGCTCTCCTGGCAGCTTTCATGCTTTCTGCGGCTCTGTGTGAAGGTGAGCACACTTTCTGATCCCAGGTTTTCCTTAGGTTTAAATGTGATCTGAGGATAACAAGAGCATCTTTAATGCTGTGACAAAAATAACATTTTTATTCAGGAAAAGAAAATAATTGTCAGTTAATGTTAATTAAATTGCAGTTTCAATGTTTTAGGCTGTATCTTATACAGCCTAAACAATTAGAAAAGTATGATTTTTTATCAGTATGTGCATTTGTTCTTATCATGCATACTCTGCAGTATGCATTTATTTAATATAAATCTATAATTTAGAGTGTATCTTATTGGGGGCCATGGTTAGCCATAATACCTATTAATGTCAAGAAAGAGAAGCCAGGTAATTTTATTACATGTACTATTTTAATGGCAAGCTTCAGACACCTATCAATTTCTGTTTGGTTTAATGATACCATGACAAATTATAGACCTTCTTGGGATCCCACTTATGAAACAAATAGAGTCAGTTCAGAATATGTATAGTATATAGTTTAATTTTCCTTTTCTCTTAAGCAATAAGAATTTTTTTAAAGGTAGAAGACATCTCTGTGCAACTCATTTATATGTTTCTATTAATTCTAACATTTATATGTTTCTAAGATTCCTACTGGTGAATCTTAGTTTACATACTATAAATAGCATTGTGGTATCAGAGAGGGTTATGCAATATTAAGTAGGAAAAAAGTATCACAAGGATGTCAACATTGCATGAACTCCAAGCCTTTATGTAGAAAGTCTTTCAATGTTGTCAGAGATGACTGTTTTTAAAACAAAGGAAAACTGAGGTCTGGCACAATGACAATATCCAGCCTTTAATTTCAAGAATGAGTTTGCTCAAGATGTGATGTTTACTAAACACAGTTATCAAGTTATTGTCTTGGAATTAAAGAGGAAGTAGTTAGCAGAGCTGTGCCCATTGAGGAGATCAACCTTTGTTTTTATTTTTTTCACAGCTGTAGTTCTGTCAAGAATAAGTACAGAACTTCGATGCCAGTGCATCAAGACTCACTCTACAAGCTTCAATCCCAAATACATAAAAGAACTGCGAGTGATTGAGAGTGGACCACACTGTCCCAATTCAGAAATCATGTAAGTACTTTCTAATGTGTTGAGATATTTTACTTTAGTAAACCTACAGCTGAGGAAGGTAGAAGTATCCAGCAAATTTCTAGTACTAGGAATACTTCAGTGAGCTAAAAAAAAAGGCAGCTGGGCTGGCTTTTGTCGCTTATTCATACCTTCTTGGAAGCACACTGCTGGTCCAGGTTCTTCTGCCATGTTTATAGCAACAATCAACCTATTTGCTGACAAAATTATTGTGAGTTCTTTGCATGGCATTTAAATATAGTGACTTCCATGATTCATAGCCTGGGTTTAAGGGACAATAAATTGAATGGTAAAGGGATGTATGAAACACCTCAATATTTATTTTCATCATATCCTTTTCATTTCAGTGTGAAGCTCTTAAAGGGAAATGAGATCTGCCTGAACCCCAAAGAAAAGTGGGTGCAGAAAATTGTGCAGGTGTTTTTGAAGAGGTAAGTTGGTTTTTATAAAACAATTTAGATTTTCATTTATCCTGAGATATACAGTCCAAAAGTCAGCCTATAAATTTCCCGTTGCTGCTGAAAATCTTTTGGGTAACTGCCTCTTTAATTAAAAATACATAGCAGCAATAGTGGGTTTCTTGTACTGATGACTGGAAAAATCACACATCTCATTTGTCCAGGGAATTCTGGATTTATAAGCCTGTTCCCTGTGTCATTATTATGGTTCCTTTCCATTTTCAGAAGTGTGCTGGTTTGGATGATAACTTATCCAGTCTCTCTATTTATAGTTGAAAGTATAGAACATTTCTAACACATGTCTATCTAAAACTATATTAGTTTATATATCAAAAATAAGAACCATACTTTACTGCTTATTAGAACATTGTTAATTTTTAAATTTCATTTTATTTATTTTCAGAGCTGAGAAGCAAGGTCAATGAAAGGAAAAAGCATTCTCCACAGCTTCCAAGAATTCCTCAGTAAAGATGCCAATGAAACTTCAAACAAATCTACTTCACTGCTTCATGTACTGTGTGTGGCTGGTGCAGAGTTGCCAGATAAAATACAGGATGCCCAGTTCAATTTGAATATTAAGTAAAACAATGAATAGTTTTTTCACTGTCTCATAAAATATCTAGGTCATTTATATTTAAAAAAAAGCTAATTGTTTACTATAAATTCAAATTTAGCTGGAAATCCTGTATTCTCTCTCTATTTTTATTAAATATTATAACACTAGTCTTCTAGCCAAGATCCATGAATCCTTTTAACTGTGCCTTGGTGTTTTCTTTAGGAGAAAAATTATCAGCCACCATCTTACCTCACAGAGATGTGAGGACAGTTGGAAGCAATATAACTTTTGTTCATGGTCATGTAAATTATTTTCAAGTGTAACTTATTCACCTATTTATTATTTATATATTTATTGAGGCATCAAATATAGTTATATCTGTTTGTAAATTTGAAAATTGGGATTGTATAACAATGATTGTAAATTTATAGTTGTTTTAGATATTAAATAATAAAGAACTGTCTTGATCAAAGTTTTATTTTGATCAAACTTGCTAGATTTAGCAAAATTAAAAACAAAGAAACAGAATACCTTGTTATTTTTATTCCAGGTAAACGATGAATAGTTTTTTAGTCTAAATACATCATTATTTACATAAAATGTTAAGGAAACCAGCCATCCTGCTTTGGACACTCCCTGCGTGAGGTCCCGTCGCGCAGGGGTGGTTATGAGGCTGTTTGTTGGGTCACCAGGATCCTGAGTTAGGGTCATCTTTCTCAAGACAGCAAAAATTCACCAGGTAATATCAAACAAAGTAACTTCTTGCTGGTAAAACCTTTTTATTATGTATAAATAAGTTCTCATAATTTTATTTAAATAATTGTGTTTTTAATAGTCACTTTAAGATACTTTTATGTATTTTGGAAGAAATTTTTTCTACTGTTTTGTTCATATGAAACTATAACTGCAAACCTAAAACCATTATAATAAAATTTATTCTCAAAATCGTCAGGTGTTGGTGTTTCTTTGATACTTTTAAAAGTAATTGTTTTATATTTTTGGTTGTATTACAAACATATGATTTAGAAAACACAAATGCTTCCCTTGAGTGTTCTGTATATTATGTGAAGAATGAAAAGCCTTTATTTGTAGAAAAATGGAACTTTCTAGAGATGGCTGCAAATAGGACTCTTTTCCATAGAACAATAGAAATTTCCTCAACTTCCTGTTGTATGCCATTTTGCTAATATGGTCAACTTCAGAGTTTCTGAACCAGCTGGGTTGCCCACACAGCTTAGTTTACAAAGCCCAGGTGTCCATGAGAGGGGGAAGAGGGTACATGTGATAAGGTGCTTCTTAAGCTAACTAAGGAGTAAAACTGACACCTATGAGGCAAAGAACTTCAAAATATGAATAGGACCAAGCACCAGATTTTAAAAAATTAAACAAAACTCTTAGTAGAAACTAAGTAAAAACCTAGTAAAAGCTACAATAATTTAACTAGAACACTCAGTGGATGAGTTTTATAACAGATTAGACACTGCTAAAAAGAAAATTGGAGATCTACAAAATAAAGCCACATAACTTTATCTGGAATTTATACAAGAGATAAAAGTTAGTAAATTTAAAGAAGAAATGGAAATACATGGAGAATACAAGGATAGGTCTCCTCAGTGTCTAATTGGATTTTTTCAAGCAGTAGAGAGGGCCAGAGACAAGATTTAAACTAACAGGGGCTGAAAAACTTTCCAGAAATGATGAAAAATAACAACCCACAGTTTCAAGAAATTCATTTAACCAATGCTTATATTTACATTCCTAGTAAAAAAAACAAGGATATTAGAACTTTGATTCATACTTGTCCACCTCCAAGACCCTTAGTTACTGCTGTTGGGCATTTTCAACACACTCTGTTTTAAACAATGGGGAGTGAGGAAGGGGGCCCTCTGTTATTTTCTCACTAGTTAGTTGAAATTGCAATCTACTTCTCCCATGTCACTTAGCTCCTTGCAATCACTCTGTGAACCTGAAGCTGCCATTCTATGGGTCAACATTATCTCTGGTGCAGAATAAAGCTCATTCTGTTTTCTAATTTCCAGTGCACATTAACCCAAAAGTGTGCAACATCACAGAGTTAGTAAAAAAATTTGTAAGTGATATAGAAGCAGAAGCCAACTGGAAATTCAGTCCCAATATTTGTTATTCTTAGAAACACTGTTCCATGAGTGGTGATTTCTCCCTCCCTACGTTCTTCTCAGGCCGTATTGTGGTGCTGCTTCTTCTTCCTCAGAGCTCTGCCTAAATTTTGTCTCCATATTCTCCTCTTTAATGTCAAGTTCCCTTGTCCTACCCTCCATTGCAGCCTTTTACCTTGTGGATCTTACACATGGGAATAAAAACACTTATAAACAAAATTTTTGAAAAAGAGTTTGTTTGTATCTCTCAGATCAGCCATGACCTCTGCAGGGTTAATAAAATATTGTAGGAGAGATACAGGACTCTTCAGAGGAGATATCAAGGAGTTATCTACCTTAACTAGCCTAGGTTTCCCTGAGACACTGAAGCTAGAGTGTGAAGGATGAGTAGGAGTCGGACACACAAAGGGAAGAAGAATGTGTGGGAAAGAGCAGTCTAGACGGTGAAGTATCTGTAAGCAACAGCATGACACGATTGCAGAAGTGAAAAAGTTCACTGTGACTGGACTTGACACTGAGACAGGGCAAGTCCTAACAGACGAAGTTATGCCAGGTGGACTATGGGAAAGTTCTAAAGGGCTCAGATTTGAAATTGAAGCCTTCTAGTGGATTCCCAGTACCCTCATTTTAAATTGTGAACGTTACAGGCCATTCTTTTTGGTTCGCCTTCCAGAAGGAAGTGAGAAGCCATGAAAGCAACTCAAAAGTCTGAGTTGCTGACTTTTGAATAATATGTGGAAATCAAATTATCAAAAAATTCCCAACTTTATATAAAAACTATTAATGTGTTAAGTACACTTTTTTGATACAATCAGCGTCCAATCTTGAAAGTAAATTGAATGCATCCAAAAGGCTATTAAGTGGATCAAATGAGTGTTAGGCATTATGTCCACAAGCCAAAATGGAAAAGTGAAAAGTGAGAGAGTGTGAGAACAAGAGGGAGAGAGAAGCAAAAGCCAGTCACTTTGCTGCACTGAAAATTTTCTCTTAATTTTGCCTCAGTGATATGAGTGAAACTGCTCTACAGACACAGGTTTTATTTATCTAGACCCAGATTTAGAAACAAATTTAAACATTCACTCTATCACTTCGTACTTTTCACCCATTTGTGTGGATTACAAATTATGACTATAATTTTGCCAGGTAGTAACATGACTATAAAGATAAACACACACAATAAAAGAGGTATGAAGAGATAATAAAAAAGTGTTCATCTTAAAATTGCATTCATTGTAAAATTCTATAATACTTATATTTCACACACAACATACAAAATCAGGTGATTTTCATAACTGCCTTTTTTGGTTCGCTAGAGATGCATTAAGAAATAGACTCATAGGTTGAAGCTACCTAAGAATAATTTTTCGTTCTCAAAATTTTGGCAAATGTACTTATTTACTGTAATACATGTATTTTGCCATCCAGGCTATGTTTGGAAAGGTCATAAGAAAAAAAATTAAAAGAACTACTTTGCTTTTTGCTTGTGGTAGTGATATTGTAAGCAAAAAAATTGCTTAAGACTGTATTAACCCTGCAATAACCAAAAAAAAAAGGCTTAAGAAATCAGCAGTTTCTCCATTATTCACTTAAAAAGACAGCCAAACCACAACTGCCTCAAGTTTGATAAATGTCAGCTAAATTTGCAAAGAACACACAAAACAAATATGGAATTTTTTAAATGTAAATACCAGGCTGATTCCTCCTCACAAGATTTACTGATGTGGCAATCAGTAATTCTCCAAAAGATTACTCAAGCATCAAATAACCCGGTTCTTACTGAGTACAGACAGAGGCCTTCTCATGCTCTTTGCGTTCCCATAGATGAAAATCACGTTGGAAAAAAATAATCTACCTTTCATGTATCATCTCTACATAGACTTAAAAAGCATAGCGTGTTGGAAAACTAAGATAGGAAACATTCACAGATATTTCCTATCTGCAGGAAATATTTCTTATTTCCTGAGCAGACTCAAAGTCTGCTTTAGAGGTATCTGGAGGAAAGTTCTAATAGCTTTGTAAAAGCTCATGGTGTTGGACCTGAAGATAAACTTTTAATGAATCCAGCAATTCTACTTCATAGGGCATATTTTAGCTTAAGTTTCAATAATTACACGTGATTCTTTCTACAGTTGCCATCCTAAATTAGTCTTCTGCCATTCATCCCATGCTACTCAAAATGCCTTCACACTTATATTTTTAATGTTCCCCTAAATGTTTATGTGAAAGTGTTCTATATGTAGATACCTCTGCCTAGATTTACTTTTTTTATGCTTGCAAAAGTATTCAACATGGCCCGTGTAGGAATTCCCTATACAAACGGGTTTTATTACAGGGACAGATAGTTTCTGCAGGTCTCCAGCAGCATCATAATGACATATGGGCTGTCTCTCCACCGACTTCCCACACTTGTTTTAGTCTTCTCTAGTACACGCCAGACATGTTTTATGACTAGAACATCCTCAAATTTTCTGAAGTGAAACTTTGTGATTATTAATTTCATTTATAAATACATATGGGCACTAACTATTCTCATATTCACACCATCTCTCTACAAAGCTTGGAGGAGGCCTCCGTGCTAACATGAAAAGCATTGACTTGTACTTGTAAGTCCCTTTTCCAGACAATGTTTTCCTGAAGGAATCTTTTCACTCTCCCAGTTTACTAAAATACTATTTCATTTTCTTTATTTCAAAATGTAGATAAGGGTTAATATAATCTACTTGGAATTTAAATTACACCTCCCACATATTATGTTACATAGATTTATATGAGCTGTGTGTTTTTTCAATCCATCTTCTCCAATTACTTAAAATTTTCACAAGATTTTATAGTGAACAAAGATACATGAACTCCAATTTTAAAATATGGTATGCTCTGTACAGAATTTATAGGGAATAGAATCAATGCCATTTTTATTGTTTTGTATATAATATAGTATATTAACTTTTACAGATTGAACATTGAAATTCTGACTCTTGAAAAATCTATGGCATGCAGGGCAGTTGACAATTCTGATACTGCTACACATGTAACTAAACAGTTTAATTAAACAATTAAGTAAATGGTTGGCTGGTGGTGGGAGCCAAGTTTTTCACTGTTCCAGGAGGAGTTTTTTAGATAGTCAAGGGGAGGAGACTAAAATGATTCATGTAGTAATGAATTAAAGTTGGGGACATTAGTATGAATTTATGTTTAGCTTATCCAGATACAGATGGATACATATGGAAATACTTACAGATATATATAAATGAGTTAGGAAACACATATATATTTCCTTCCTTTGTCAGCTAAAAGGACCTAAAAGCAATGACAGTCTAGTAGCAATAGTACACCTAGCACCCCAATCTTGGTTTCTAAGACCACTTTCTAATAAGATGAACCAGGGGTTCTTTGTAAAATGTCTGATCTCAGGACTGGGGAAGGAAATATATAAGATGAGTCTTGAGCATTTTTCAGCATCAGAAAATAAGAAATGACTCTCTCTGAATAAGATTACAGAGGGTACGTCAAAGTGAAACAGAACCAACAAAAACCTGGAACAATAGCCACAATGTAACAACCTAAGAACAAAATAAGTAAAGTGATATACAAGATCCAACATAAATAATGTCTCTTCTTATTACAAAATCTTTTATTATATAATCATAAGCATGTAATTCTGTAACATAACAATATCACACTCAAGAACACCAGATGGCATTGTAGGTGAATCATTCAAATTAAAACAATAAATTATTACACCCATATTATTAGCCTGA